CTAGGTCTCAACTGAACACTAACAAATACATAGCTGTCAACCAGTCTCCCCACCTGTGTGTTGTTAACATTGTTGAAATAGATGGCAAATTTATCAGCATGTGTTTAGATTTTATGAAACGCTTGTAGAATGCTGCATGTATTAATCACACTTATGACATCTATGCCCCATGTAATAAGGCGGCAGTAAATGTTTGCATTGTAGTCCACTGTAATTGTGTAAGTCATCAAACAGGAAAGGAGAATTAATTAATGTAAAAATGCTGGCTTCCTACAGAAGGTGTTAGATCCGGCCCACCAAGAGGCCCATTGAAACCAAGGAGCCATTGTGAAACATCAAAGAACAAAGATTTTGTTAATTGCATTCTTTCCCCACTCCTCCATGAAGAGAAAAAGCTGAGTGAACTCATCCCACCAGCTTGAACTACAGGGAAAAGGGAAGGAAAATCTCTAGCAAGGAGAAACTATCTTTATGCTGCTTGGACTGCGAGGGCACGTCTTCAGTGGCAACGTTAAAGCGCTGCCGAAGAAGCGCTTTAACGTGGCTTGTGTAGTCATGGCATAGCAGTGCACTGTCTACACTGGCATGTTAGAGCGATGAAACTTACAGCGCTCGGGGGGGGGGGTGGGGTGTGCTTTTTCACACCCCTGAGACAGTTGCAGCGCTGTAAAGTGCCAGTGTAGACAAGCCCTCAGGGGCAAAGATTACTAAGCATAAGCCAAAGAACTCGAATGCTTGACCTGGGTTAGCCCTAAAAGCCATATAGAGCTTCCTTATTAAAGAAGCTTCTATTACTTTTTGAAACTTAAGACTGGAACTCCTTTTTGTGTGTGTGTATGTATATATATATCTATATATGTTCACCTGCTTTAATTTTGTAAATATCTCTCATTTCTTTTTCTTCTTCTGATAAATTGTTAGATTATTATAGGCCTGGCTATAAGCATTGTCTTTAATGTAAGATCTAAAGTCCAATTGACCTACAGTAAGTGAATGTTTCTTCTAATAATAATAATAATAATTAATAATTAAATAAGTATACCATATTAACATAATTATATTAATCATCATTTGGTATAATCATATTAATTATTATAAATAACAATTGATTAAATTTAATAATTAAAATATTGCATATAATAATAAGAAGAATATTTCTTCTAATAAATCTTTAGCTAGAGTATTATAGGACTGGCTACAAGCATTGTCTTTAATATAAGATCTAAAGTGCAGTTGATCTACAGTAAGTGAATATTGTTGTGATTTTCAGTGTAAGGGACCATCCGTCACAAAAGGAAGCTTGCATAGGTGGCAAGATAGAAGAGTACCCAGGGGGACTGTGTGACTCCATAGTTAGGCTGTTATCGTGCCTGAGGAGTTTACACTTAACACTTGGTTGGTAAAATCTAAGTATAGAACTCACAGCCAATGTGCGGTTTGTGCCCTACTTCTTAACTGTCTTCCCTGAGATTGGTACTCATGCTCCTGAGCCACTGCAGGACAGCTTGACCCCTGGATTTGGAAGCAGAGCTGTACAGGGAAAGATAATTCCATTTAATGAAAGATTTTGATATTTCAAAAGTTGGATTTGCTTTTTAAACCAAAATATTTGAAATTTGCCATGAAAAGAGGTGGAGCCCCAGAGCCACACATCCTGGGAGCGCTGGGATCTCCACAGAGGCCACTCAAGACAATCTGCCATCCTTCAGTATGCCACTCCCCTTCTCATAGGTCTAGTGCAGCAAGTTTGGCCCAGTCACCCCTCCATCATGACAGAGGGACGGCTTGAGTGAATGGTATTGCGACCCAGCGCTTGGGGTTGTAACACCACTCAAATATGGCCTGGCCACCCCACTGTCCTAGTTTGCCTATAGCTAGAGGAGCCTCTGGGTTCCCAACTCTGAGGCAATCCAGTAGGCGGGCTGCTAAGGGGCCAGGTGGGCAAGTTGACAGGAAATCAGACAGGATTCCATCAGATATCTCTCTCGTCTTTGTCGGAATTTGTTGAAAATGAACCATCTCCATAAAAAGATGTGATGCCAATAAAAATGTTTCATCAGAATTTTTCCTGCTAGCTCTACTTAGGATCATGCAATACTTGGTCATCCAAAATTATAACACAAAACCTGGAGCCTCCAATTTGTGAGCGTGCAGACTCAGAAACTTTAAGACCTTTTGGAAAATGTGGGTCCTTTAAGATCTGCTGCAGTTTTTCTATCATGTAAGAACAGAGAAGGACCCAACTTGGAACACGTGTTCCTTCACTTCTCACTGTAAAGGGGAAGGGCTCAGATTTGTATCTCGGCATTCAAACCTACTTCTATAATTTCAACTCTGGATTTGAGCCAAAGGAAGGAAGGGCCTAATTTCCAGTTGTCATTTGGATGTAATTGAAATCCCAATAGAAACAATTACACCTACAAGGTTTCAACCCAAGATGGTGGGAGAACAGCTTATAAGATTACAGTGTCATCGAATGTGAACCCAAATAACAGAATAAAGCTATTAAAGATCTGAAAAGTGGATTCAATTCAGAGGAGATTTGTAGTGAAAATTACATGCTGGTAAGTAGGCATGAGGCTTAGGACTTTCTACAGGGTGGAGTAATGAGCACTACAAGGTCTAATTTCTAAAGCGCACAAATGTGCGGTGCATGAATTGTTTCACACAGACCCCGCTGGTGTGCATTAAAAGCTCCCAAGTGCACTTTAACATAGTGTGTGTACACTAAAGCGCACTAGGGAACTTTTCATGTGCACCACCATGCTCTACGTCAGGGGTCGGCAACCTATGGCACGTTTCAGAGTAACAGCCATGTTAGTCTGTATTCGCAAAAAGAAAAGGAGTACTTGTGGCACCTTAGAGACTAACCACTTTATTTGAGCATAAGCTTTCGTGAGCTACAGCTCACTTCATCAAATGCATAAAAGTGGAAAATGCAGTGAGGATGTTTTTATACACACAGATCATGAAAAGTGTGCCAAAGACGGCATGCAAGCCGATTTTTAATGGCATGCTGCTGCCTACCAGGTCCCAGCCGCCGGCCCCCGCCCAGCCTGCTGCCGAACCCAGGGCGGGACCCCGGCAGACAGCAGCATGCCATTAAAAATCCTGCCGGCCCCAGCCCGCTCTTCTCCACCCCCGCACCCCCCCGGGGGGCAGGGTGAAGAAGCTTGGTCCTGCTGGCTGCTGCTGCAGGGCAGGCAAGGTCCCCTCCTCCCCTGCCATGCTGGGTTTCTGCCCCTCCTCCTCTCCCTCCCTGCCGTCGATCAGCTGATGGCCCTTGCAGGGGAGGGGGAGAAGCGGAGCCACAGCGCGCTCACTGCTCCAGGGAGGAGGCGGAGAAGAGGTGGGGACGTGGCCTTGGGGAAGGGGGAGGAATCAGGGCATATCCCCTCCAGCCCCCTGCCGTGAGCCGCTCTGGGCAGGGGGCTGGTAGCATCCCCATGACCCTAGCCCACACCCACATCCCCAGCCCTCTGCCCTGACCCCTGCACCCTCCCCATGACCCCAGCCCTTTGCCCTGACTCCTGCACCCTCCTCACACACCCCAGCCTCCTGCCCTGATGCCTGCACCCCCCACACATACCCAGCCTCCACATGCCCTGACTCCTGCACCCCCCTCATATACTCCTAGCCCTCTGCCCGACTCCTGCACCCCCCTCATACATCCCCAGCCATCTGCCCTGACCTCTGCATGCTCCCACGCTCCCAGCCTTTACTCCAGCACCCCACACACATACCCAGCGCCCCCACACCCTATGCCCTGACTCCTGCACCCTCCTCACACACCCCCAGCCCCCTGCCCTGACTCCAGCACCCCCATGCCCCTGACTCTTGCACCCCACCCTGAGCACCAAACAGGAGCTCCTGCACCACCACCCCCCCCACATTCCTGCCTGCACCCCTTGCACCAAATGGGAGCTGCTCAGGTAAGCATTCCACATCCAAACCTCCTGCCCCAACCCTGAGTCCCCTCCCTCATTCTAGCTCCTGGCCAGACCCTGCACCCCAACCCCCAGCCTGCTCCTTTACCCCCAGCCCTGTGCTCAGCGCACTCCCACCCTCAGCTCAGTGCAGAGAGAGAGGAAGAGAATGGGCTAGAACCAAGGAGAAGGTAGATACCCACTCTGTGTGGGCAGGGCCGGGATCCCAGACAGGCAGCGGGCTGAGCGGGGCCGGCAGCCGGGACCTTGGCTGGCAGGAGCCGGCGGACTGAACCCCAAACCGGCAGCGGGCTGAGTGGCAGTGGGCTGAGCCGCTCAGCCCGCTGCCGGTCTGGGGTCTTGACTGCCGGCCCCGCTCAGCCCGCTGCCGGTCTGGGGTTCTGGCTGCCAGCCCCTTGCCAGCCAGGGTCTCGGGCCACAGGCCCCGCTCAGCCTGCTGCCGGCCTAGGTGAACGGAACCCCAGGCTGGCAGCGGGCTGAGCAGGCCGGTGGCGTAAGATCAGCATTTTAATTTAATTTTAAATGAAGCTTCTTAACCATTTTGAAAACCTTGTTTACTTTACATATGACACTAGTTTCGTTATACAATATATAGACTTATAGAGAGAGACCTTCTAAAAAACTTTAAAATGTATTACTGGCACACGAAACCTTAAATTAAAGTGAATAAATGAAGACTCGGCACACCACTTCTGAAAGGTTGCCGACTCCTGCTCTACATGGACCAATTAACGCACAACACGTTAGTGCACTTTAAAAATCACACGCTGTCGTGCGCATTGCTGCTCCAGGTAGACAAGCCCTTAGGTAAGTAAATCTAAGGGAGTTCTGAAGCCTAAGGTATTGTAATGTACTCAATGAAGAGGCCAGAAGACGGTGTAACCTTTGGGTGGGCCAGAGTTCACTTCATTTCCCATCTCCAATCCTTTAAAAAAAAAAAAAAAAAACACCCATAGAAAGTAGCTGGAGACTCAGAAGTCAGTCGAAGGATTTTCAGCAAGGATTACAGGGGGTCAACCTCCCCACATTCAAGTCCCAAAAGGAACTAAAGCCTTGAATTTAATTAAATAACTTTATAAAATCTTATGATAAAGAAACAAATAATAATCTAATTTTACAGCGTAACATGGCTATTTTATAATCCACAGAGATTGCCTTCACAGTTATACATAAACATAAATAAAACAAATTAAAATATGTACAGTTCCGTCCCCACAGAAACACAGTGAGAAAAAATGGAAAGTTCCCAAAAGCTTAGGTTTTGTTCACCTAAGTCTCAGTTAGAGCTATCCAGTCAGCTGAGTCTAAAACAACATCTTCCCTCCACTTGCTTGTAGGCCTCTTCAGTTGGAAGCCAGGCAGACTCTTCCTCTGCTGAAATCACTGCTAGCCAGTCAGCTGCCTGATTATCCAACCATGCAGTTAAGTGTATAGATTTAAAGAAAACCCTGTTACAAGAAAATACAAAACGGAGAATAGCAAACTAGCAATGACTCTTTCCCCATTACTACACTTAAAGAAAAGCTGGTGACTCAGACTAGCTGAGACAACTTAACTAGAACAGTTTGGCTAAAATCAAAACAACATTCAAAGCGTACAATTAAAATAGAAGTGATTTTTCCCTCCCAATTTCCCCTGGCTATAATTAGCACTGCCCATGCTTCCCCCTTAGAGAGTTAACAATATCACTAACCTGCTGCAAAATGCTTCAGAGTTAGGGACAACAGCCTGCTTCCGGCTCCTGGGCTCAGCTTCTCCCAACTCACACAGGGCACATGGCCTTCTGCAAAGCAGCTGCCCTGACTGCTTGCCCTCAGGGCATCTGACCCCCAGCAACAGGGAACCAACTGAAGCAGATCCAAAACTACCGTTACAAAATTCTAAGCAGTCTGATATTTTTTTGTACAGGTTTTGTTTACAATGTCAATTTTTAATAGACACAAATGTGGAAAATAAAAATAATAATAAAAAAAAAACATGACCCAGACACAACTCACTCCTGCCTCCCCCCAATGGATCTCTTAAAGAGATATCTCCCTATTAAGTACATGGGTTACAATGGCATAAATTACACCTCCTTCAATCTGACTTGCTCATCCTGACTTAACATTGCATATTATGCTTGTCCTGATTCTGATCTCACTTACACCAGTTCATACTGGTGTAGCTCCACTAATTTCAGTGGAGCTCCTGCTGATTTGCATAAGGTTAAAAATGTAAAATTAGTGTCACAGACTTGCTTCTGGATTTGGCCTACTGTATCATTAGTCCGTCTCTAGAAATTGTGTACATGTGTGTAATTGTGAAATCTTTATATACACAACACTCAGGCATACCCATATTAAATTGGAGTTCAGTTAGCAGATTCTCACATGGCTGATTTGAGAAAGTTTGCATTCCTTCCTAAACCTTCTTGTCAGCAAAATTGTACATTGTTTCTGGGGAACAAAAATTAAATGGACTAGAGATGATTACAAAAATTGTGGCTACAATTAAGGGGGGATGGTTGATAGCAAATGGAGAAGCACTTGAGGATATTAGCACACACGTAAATCATTAGGAGAAATAATTAAGCTTTCTATTGCAGCAAACATTCTAAATCTCTCAGGTATTGAAGAATAATGTGCAATTTAGCATCTTTTTCTTGTTTCAGAGCATATTATTCATTCTTGCTTACCCAAATGTTATGTAAAAAAGCAATCATTTGAAATCTGTAAGAGAACGATGAATCATGACTCAAATGAGATGGAAAAACAATCTGCTGCCCCTGAGAGTGTTTTCCACAAATATTATTTTTTATTTTTAAAAGGGAAATTTCTCCAGATCCAATAACAGCATGTTTTGCAGCTAAATGGGTTGATTTGCATATTGCAGCATAACAAAAATAAAACAGTCTCATTTTCCTTGCTGAAAGACTATCTCAAGGGCTGCATTCCTTTGCAATATCTCTTTGTTGTTGCATTTGTTTTCTCTCTTCAGGATACTTTTTCCTTCTCTTTGCCCAATCAGGAGAGTGTACTCCTGGTTTTTCAGGATCCTGTGCCTGTCATTTGGTTCCATCTGCTCTCTCTTATGCTGAAGGATCTTTCTGCTAGAGAGAAAAAGAATAGATGGACTCTTCAATAATGCCTAAGTGACCAAGGCACACAAGTTAAACTGAAATTCAGTGGTTCTAGTGTTTCTGAGTCTCTTTGGTGATTGATGAATATCTAATAGGTTCTAGACTTTTAAAATGTTGTCCCCTGTTTGTTTGTTACAAATCTAGAAATTGCATTTTGTCACTGCTCTAAAAGGCTACTACTCACAGAATTGCACTCATGGATTTTTAAACTCTGTGCAAATGTAGATAATCAGGTCTATGCACCTTTTTCTGCACCCTCTCCTAAATGAGTGGAGATATAGCTTACATCAACATTTGGACTCAAAGGGCTGATTCCCAGCTTGCGTAGATGCACCCACCCACACTAGGTCTGTTTGAGGTAGCACCTAAAAATAGCAATGTGTCTGCAGCAGCAAGGGGGCCACTTGGGCTAGCCACTCTGAATACAATAATGCCCGACATCCTGTGTGTGCATTTGGGTGGCTAGCTGGAGCCAGTGCCTACAGGGCCACAGACATGCTGTTATTTTCAGGTGCTAGCTCTTGCAGAGCTAACTAGCCTGGGTACACTACACAAGCTGGGAATCACCCCTCCCAGCTCAAATGTAGACATACCCTACGAAATATTGTATTTCATGAAAGTGTATCAATAGTTTTGTTAGCTAAGTATCTCTTGGGCCTAGGATTTGCAGAAGGACCTTTACACAGCTCAAGTAGTAATATCTCACCTAGATAAAGTGTCGCATACGCATATAGTAGCTGTCTTCGATTGGACTCACAGAGATACAAATTGCATTAAAAGTATATGAACAATGTAGCCTGGGATGAAACAAGTGTACCTGACATAAATAACAGGTTCTTTATTCAGGTGGCTACTTACAGTTAATTAAAGAAGATGAAATTGGGGAAGCACACACATAAAGTTTATGAACTTTAGTTAAAACAGACAAATAATAGAAATCATAGGAAAAACAATATGCATAAATATTAGAATAAGTACAGTCAAGTTGTGTCCTGCATTGTTTATACTTATAGTCTTATATTCTGCGTACCTACAACCTCATCGAGACCATTAGAAACAAAGATGGAAGAAAAAGTAAGTGGAGATCATCCCAAGAGGAAGGTGCCGAGACAGTCTTCCTACCCAGGTTTCAGAGTAGCAGCTGTGTTAGTCTGTATCCGCAAAAAGAAAAGGAGGACATGTGGCACTTTAGAGACTAACAGATTTATTTGAGCATAAGCTTTTGTGAGCTACAGCTCACTTCATTGAATGCATCCGATGAAGTGAGCTGTAGCTCACGAAAGCTTATGATCAAATAAATTTGTTAGTCTCTAAGGTGCCACAAGTCCTCCTCTTCCTACCCAGTTGTCCCATGTTGTTGTCCGGTTGTTACGGATGAGTTTGACAACCTATTCCACCTTTTCCCATTATACCCACATACATCTGGGACTATATCTGATGAAGTCAAGTCTCAGCCCTTCATTCATATTTGGTATTCTGGGAGATCAGTTTTAGGGTTTTTTCTCCATGTGTAGTGTTCCTCTTGACCATAATTCCATTTCCAGCAGTTAACCCAACCATTTGTGTCAGTTTCTTTCCCAATAGTTTTGAGACAACAATGAGATTAGCTCTTAGTACAAATAGCCCCTAAGATGCTACCATCATTTATGGTTTACCTGTTCATCTCTAAATGCATGGCTAAACTATCACAAGACACATATTACAAAATTTTATAACCTTAGGTCAAGCTTGTATCATTCCATAATCTTTGGTCAAGCACATAACACTCATGCTATTTTATACCAACTGCCAACTTCTTCTAGGCCTAATTCTAAGCTCTTAACACTTAATACTTAAGACCTATAGCCAAGCCTATTTGTAATACATATATTTTAGTTCTTCTGCTTGCTGTTACTGCTTCCATTATTTTTTCTGTAAACATGCTTAGCAGATAGGTTATATTTTACCCAAAACTATAGACTCTCCAAGTTCAGGTCAGGGGTCAATGTTCAACACCAACATACTGTTTCGGATCTCAGCAGGAAGATTTGAAAAGTTACCCACAGGAGCCATATGGTAAAGGGCCTGCAAATGTAAAACTTAAATCTCATAACACTTTGGTCAATAGTTTTATTGAACACAACATTAATATAGAGGTGTTTCTTATGCAAATATACCACTGCAGTAGTTCTGTTGTTCACTTACTCTTTACCTGAAATTGTACGCCATGCACGCACAATAAGCCATACTTTGGCAGCTATAGATTGTGCCCATATATTGTAGATGTGTGGCTCAAAATATTAAATCCATGTCAAGATACAGTAATCATTTAATTCCTTTAAAATGAAAAGATGTTTAAATATAATGCTTTAGCTTTACGAGTAAAATTTCTGTCATCAATCACTCCGCATAAACTGCATTAGGTACAGTTACTACTACTTGAGGGCAAACAAGTTATCATGCTTTTAAGACAATGAAAAGGGTTTACAGTATATCACAAATGTCTGACGTTTCTGTACTTATTTTTAGAGGGAAGAAGTAAAATGTGAACCAAACATATGTAATGTGACACAAAGAGCACATAGTGTGTGTGTAACAGAGGAGTGTGGAGAGCCAGTTGGCCTAGTGGTTGGAAGCTTCCTGCTTCTGTGGTCAAGGTGCCTCAGTCTTTAAGGCAGGCGGATTAGGGGCCCAGGCCCTCCTACTCTACTGGATCCCAGCCCAGGGCTCTGTGTAAGTCACCCTGAGTAGGGGACCTCCCAGCTGGGAGTCTATGTTCACTGCCCTGGGTTACTTCCTACTATAGCCCTTCAATTTGGGGCGTCGCCTGTATGGTCCAAGTTCCTGTGGTGCCTTGTCCCCTCATGGACCATGGGAGGCACCCTGCTGTTGTCCCAGGTTTCTCTGGGCCAGGGAGCCATAAGTTTGACAGGGCCAGAACCCCCACAAGGTCTCTGCACTTTGGTCACCCGGGTTCCTCCGAGGCCAGGTGTTCCTAGGCCTCTTTCTATGTCTCCTTCAGCCAGGGAGACACTGCTTGGTCCCTGGTGGCTGCCTCAGCCAGCAGGCTAGTGATCCTTCCCTCAGGTAGAGAGGCAGCTAATTCCTAGCTCTTCGCCACTCAGCCCCAAACTGAGCCAGGCAACCTCCTTTTCTCTCCCCGCCAGGCCTGGCAGAGGCTGCATGTATAATGGGGTAGGGCTAGCTGGACCCGAGGGCTTTCCCTAACCCCTGCCATGTTGGTGGGGGGTTCCTCTGCTTCATCACAGTATGATCAACTCTAGGAAGAGAATCATTTGTTTGAAGTGTTTGGGTGCTCTGGTTTATGTTTTTCATGGATTTATTTTCTAACGTGTAAGAAAGCCATTTAATGGGGCCAAACCAACACATGATCTGACTTCTCATGACATTTTAGATCCCTGATGGTGGAAATACTAGGAAAAGATTAGGTCTTGCATTATCAGCCATAAATGGCTTCATGAACGGAAAACAAACCCACCAATGACAAACAAACCCAAATTCAGAGATGCTGGAGTTTATTTGGCTTCCTGAAGAACACAAATGCACAGCCCTTGGGCTTGTATGTGTGAAGGACTGACTTCTGTGGAACATTTGACTTGCATCTGAGAGAATGTTTCCATACGCAAAGAGCAAGATGCACAGTCTAAAAATT